TGAAAGTTGTTTACTGATTTTCAATAGTAGATTAAATATTTCTTAGAATTTTGTAATAATGATTGCGTAAACAATACTTATATACACAATAATAACTATAACACTTGAGTCATCTTTCAGTTGATCAGTTTCTTAACGAGTTGCAAAAGGTAAAGACTAGCCAAGTGTTTTGATTTGTATACTTTGAAAGAAAGTTGCTTAGTACAAGTTACCAAGAGGTAAATGATCGATTCTGATCAAATGTATGTTGTGATAACGAAAATGTGCTGGTTGCTGTCAATATCAACCTGCCAGAGCAACATTATTCTGTACAATGAAAAAGGAAACACAGTGTACTATCGTTGACTTCGATATGACAATGAGTTGAGATTTAGTTTAAACTGATGCTAAGTATATTTTGGACAATTTCTTTTCGATGCATATTAACAAATTTCCTTAGAAATGCTTGTTGTCGTTTATTTATCTATAAAAATATGGTGAGATATGTTTGTGTAATGACTGCAGAAGAGAATCATGTCAGAAAGAAAGATTGAATATGACCGAATCACAGATAACAATATAGAAAGACGGTAAGAAGAAAATAAAGGATGCATTGGAAGTCGTATGAAACTAAGTAGAAATCACGTCTATATTTGATATCTTACTGTATTATTTTTGTGGCTAACAGGATAATGAGTTTTAAGAAAGTTTGAATTAATTATCTTATCGATTGTCGGAATAACTTATGTGAAAATATGGTAAGACTGCATGTTTGGGGCTAATTAGAAATAAATCACAGTTTAAAGGATGCATACTGACAACAAACACATATACGTACAAATAGAAAAATTCAATTGCACAAATGAGTAAGAAATACGAAAAAAAAAATAGAAATAAAAAAACCTAACAATGTAAAAATGACACGGACCATTTCTGTTTGTATTATAATAAAAATTGTATAGTACATTTCATGATTATCGATGCTCCATTGTTTAGATAAATTGTTTGTGTAAATGGTTGTAATGGTGGAGTAAGAAATATGTCAAGTGAACATGGCAAGATGTCTATGAGATGTATTGATGTATAACCAATATTTTCTAAAAGAAAGAAGAAGAAACAGATTTTCCTCTTGATAAACAAGAAAGAAAAATGTTTCGAACAAACCATTCGGTGAAAAAAATTCATTATCAAATATATTAATATGTATAATATCTTTAGCAAAATCATATAGAGAGAATTGTATAGATGTATTCCATTTTGGATTATTTGTTCTTTTCATAAATGGAGTTTTTAATGTTAATGAACCGACAGTTATTTCACAATAGGAATTTAAAGAACCTAAAGGCAAAAAAGAAAACATTCAAAAATATAGCAATTAAGTACTAATTTTTTTTCATGACTAGAAACAATATTTACGGTGTCGTTCAACTGTTGTCGTTGGTGATATTAAATCACGAGCTTCTATTATGACGAGAACAAGATGTACAACAGCAGCTTGTGAATCATGTTCATGATCTTCAAAATTAAAAGAAAATGATAGTTAAAATGCACATTTGAATCATTTATAAATTATAAAACAAGCGTTACTTGTGACAGTAAACAATGCTTTATCGGTTAAAATTAATTTTTCTGTTACTTGATATTCTTCTAGAGCACTATTAATCGCTCGTACCCATAATGTACTACAAAAAAAGAGAAAACATAAAATAAATGATCTCTTAATTCAATTGTTTTATGCTTTGCTTGTGCTATCATACCGAATGTTAGTGTGTTGTGTTTTTAAAATCAATGGTTTTTCATTAATTTTCATTGTAATAGAAAAACTTAATTGGTCATTAGGTATTTCATTAGCAACAAAAATATCAGCTAATAATAATGGCTAAAAAATAAAGAATAAATTGACTAAAATAAAAATTTTAATCAATGAATTTACTAATCGGTAAAGTTTTAATTGTAGATTTGATTTCAACTCAAATAATTGTGATTGCCAATTGTTTGATGATGTTTTTATAGTTGAAAATAAAAGAAAATCATTAAATAAAAATGCTAATAATTCTTTTCCACTTGGTACCTAAACAAGAAGAATCAAAACTTCAAAATTAGACTCTTATCCATTCAAAAAATCA